GGGGGGTTTCCTTTCTCTTCTTGCAATACATGAAAGGCTCTGTATTAAAAAATAGTAATTTTCCCACCAGTTGAAAAATATGTTGTTATTATGTATAAAACTGAGAATGACATTTTAAAAATTGTCTGAGTTTATATCAAACAGACAAGCCCTTTAAAATGACTGAAAACTAATATTTTGCAGTCAGATAAGAGCTGAAGAGAAAGAATTAAGTATTTCTCTTAGTTATGGGGTATAGTCCACATCTCTCTCTGGATAGGCCTTTTCCCTGGGCAGATCTAGATGCCAGGCTTTATTTGTATTTTTAAGAAGACTACATTGCCTGATATTTTTATGATACAGGCAGGCTTTACATAAAGTGCCCCAGTGTCTCCTGGGATCCCAGTTTTCCAGTCATCCACCCTGGAACTAGCTTGGAACATGTCATGGCTCCTGAGCAGCTCATAAACCTGTGTGTCTTTCCTGCAGAATTTAGAGAAAAAGAACAAAGTAAAGTGGTGTATCCTGGGTCTCATCTTGAGATTCTGGAAGTGGAACATGACTGAAGAAGTGTGTACTTGCTCCAGGCAGTGGGAGAGTGTTCCTGGGCTGATATTTTATGAACATGTAGAGAAATATGCATTGGTATTTTTCATGAGAAAAAGTATAGAAAAACATAAGCTATTTCAGTTGAAAGGGACCTACAATAATCATCACATCAGGCGACCTGACCAATTCCAGCCTGATCAAATTAAAACATGTGAATGACAACATTCTCAAAAAGTTTCTTAAACACTGATAGGTTTGGACACCTCTCTAGGAAGCCTTTTCCAATGTTTCACCATCATCTTGGTAAAGAAAAGCTTTCTAATGTTTAGTCTAAACCCTCACTGGTGCAGCACTGAACCATTGCACAGTAATTAAATGGTACTTTGTCCTCAGGCTTTTAGCTTGATTTGGTAGAACTGCCTGTGGAATGAGGCATAGTTTAACACTAAATTGTGGTTAAATTATGTGGGGTAGAATTTACTGGACTTTACTTGGGTTATCTCTAGACTGAGATAACTAGCCCAAGACCTAGACAGTCTTTTTACTTTTAGATGGAGTTGTTCAGTTCCAGAGGACAATTGATTTTGTTTTCAGTCTGATTAATTGTCTTCTGGAGGTGCTTATGTTTCTCAAATAATCTGGAGGAAAACTACCTAATGTAGTAATGTAGTTTACTAACTTAGCCCCTAATGATAAATATTCAATGCTGAATAGGAAGCAGCTGGCTTAGATAATTTAGTAACTTTGATGTGGTCTATCAGCAGGAAGATGACCATAAAGATCTATCTATTCTTTGTAAGTTTGGGAAGCTTTAGATTTTGACTAATATGAAATGCAATATAATATATTAAGAGTTTAAAAAAATATTCATATTCTGAAGATACACAGCTATGAGCTAAATGAGTGACTCATACTATGATGAGCAGCATGTCCAGTGTTAAAATTAGCAACAGTGCATGTTTTAGAATTATTGGTGTAATACTGATACTAATAATATAAATTAACAACAGAAGAAATCAGATACACAGTAGATATTGATTATTAACTCCTGAAAATATCTAGAAAATAAAAGTGACTAATGTTTTCCTATAAACAAGGGAAAGAAGTATTTTCAGCCAGGTTATAAAGGGCTATCATTTGGAA